CCAAGTCCAAATGCCATTGCCATCTTACATTTTTTTCTTGACAACTGCTGGAGAAGAATGGGAAAATCTCTACAAAAGAGTCTAAACCAAAGCTATTGTACTTAAAAGAGATAAAGAAGAATCTTAGAACACATCCTTCTTGGACATGTCCATTATCTTTTACCTCCAAAGCCCTTGGTGACAACACATACATTTCCCCTGGTGTCCACATCTTCAAGACAGATGGGAAGTTTACAGAAGAAATTCCAAGCTTCATTATTAACAGTCCCAATGAAAAAGGGAGGAACAAATTCCAGAAGCTCCCATAAAGTGCCTGAGCTCTGCAGAACTGTTGGTAAGGACATGGCTCTAGGACCACATGAGGCGTAACTCTACATCTGCAATTCAACTCTGCTCCCTGATGATCCTAACAGAGGCGTCTGCCTCACCTCCTGGGCTGAGAGCTCCTCAAACACAGGCACTGCATCTTACCCATCTTGGTGACCTCGGACCAGCCTGGGGGTAATGAACAGCTAGTATTACCTATCGAGGAAACAGCAATGACATTGCCATTAAAACAGAAGAAAAAGTCAATCTAGGTAAGCAAATGCCATTTCAGAACCTGCTTCAACCCCTATCTTCCATGAATCACCTGATGGAACCATCAGTGCTACTGCTCCTAGGGGTGGCAAAGCCATGAAAGGAGGAGGAAGGAAGGTAAAGCCTGGCCACTTAGAAAGTCCTCAATGAATACATGATAAAGCAGTTCAAACTGTCCATCTGTCCCTCCATGTCCTCTCTAGACTCCCCAGGCTACAACTCCTCCTGAAATTGAGTGTGAGAAGAGTCTGCCCCCCACCCCCAAAAAACTCATGTTAACTCTCCTTAGATATCTATCCTGAGCTACAGTGGTGCCTCGAACTACGCCCTCTCAATCCATGACTTGCAAAGTCACATCTACCACTTTTCATAAACCTTACACTGAACAGCTGAATCCACTCAACAGATTTGTCATTCTGTTCAATATTTATGCAGCTCCTACTGTATGCTGGAACCGTGCTAGGCAATTAATATACAATTAAAAAGGTATCATCTACAGTTCCCTCGAGGAGCTCCCAGCCTGGTGTTCCATTCCATTTGCTTCAGAAGCAGGTTATTTATTCCTGCACAGACAAGCTCACTCCCTCCTGCTGTACGCCAGAGTGTGGGGTGTACCCTCCTAGCACTGCTGCAAACTGCTGGTGCTGCACTATCCCTCTTATCTGCTGCCTGTCTTCCTCCTTCCACTTCCACTCCTTCTCTCCAACATGGCCAGTGACCGTCCCTTCCCTTCTGGCAGGTCTCCCTTTTGTTTCTTTCTGTGAGCGTGGCCTTCCAGAACAGGTAGACAGAAGACAGGTTTGTGCTCTGGTGCTAGACAGCCTGGGTGATTTGAATCCAGCCCTGCTTTCTACCAAGCAGAGAAATCTTGGGCATGTTACTCAATTTCTCAAAGCTCCATCTGTGAACGGCATCCTCCTTGAGAAAGTCTGCTGAGGATCACAGGAGTTTCTAGACATAAAACCCTTAGCACAGTGCACGGAAATAAGTGTGCAGCCAACAGCTAGCTGCCAGTATCACAGTGGCTGTTGGGTAATTCATGCTTTCATATTTGTATTTCTCCCCTGCCAGATGAACCTACACCTGCATTTTGCTCTTCTCTTGTTTTCAGAAGTTAACCATCATAGGATGTCAAGGACAATCTCTCCATCTCCAATCCTTGGTCCCTGATGCTCTCCCAGCCATTAAAAGATGCCTTACAATGCTGAATTTTGGTACTGAGCTGTCGGGGGTGCAGGTGTCAGGCCACCAAGCACTGATGTGTAGTGTGCAGTGTATGTGTGTGCAGGTGGACAAGGTGGTGTTAATGCTCTCAGAGACATCTAAAGAAAGAATATTCTAGAATCTTTTTCCATTGGGATGAATCACAAAAGAGTCATTCAACCACTGGGGTTCTTTGAACAGTCCTATAACATAAAATGTCTCTTCTTCTGCCCTTCTGCAAAGGAAGAAGTGCATCAACTCTTCCTCCCCATGTTCATTACTGGACATGTGTTTAGAACCCCTTGGTAAAAACTAACCATTGGTAATATGACAAATGAGCATCACAAGGAATGTTGTAAAGAGCTTGATTACTGCTAACCTAAGTTTAGCCAAAGTCTTGGTATAATGAGATACTAATAATATTCACAGAGGAAAGATCACTGGCCACTCACTCTGCCATCAGAAAATAATGAAAAAAATCAGCCTGGGGGAGTAAATGCCAACGGAGAACATCTCTGCTGCAAGCTCCATCTCTCTCAGCTCCTTGACTATAGCCACTAATCCTACTACTAGGTAAGGAGGTCACAGAGGACTAGACTAGAAGTTAAGGCTGACCAGAGAAGCCCGTACACTCCAATCACCACTCCCTCTGATGTAGCAGCTAACAAGCACAATACCACACACAGATCAGACAGTAACTTTGCATCACACTGTCACCTTCTCTGCACATCACTCAAGTCTGTGCAGTGAGATGGTGAGACTCCATCACCATCAAAGCAGGTGGCAGCATGGCCATGACACGGCCTCCAAGGCACCATCATCTGGCCCGCCAACTTCAGCAGCCACAATGCCACCACTGTCCCTGTCTGCTCCGTTCCAGACCTGAGGGTCTCCTTTCTGGTCCTCAAACCTAAACTCTTTCCCCATGCAGGACCTTTGTCCTTGCCATTCCCTATATAGAAAGCAGGAACTCAAAAAATACCAGATCAACCTCCCAACCTCCCACCCAACCAATGAACAGTGCTTTGCTCAGTGGGTCAAATGGCCAGTCACTGTCTTCGCAAGTCCTTCACAGCCAGAGTTATTGATGAGTAGGTCAGCTTTCTGGCCGGAGGAACCCACATGTGGATCACTGCCTTCCTGCCCCCCACCCAGAGCTCAGCACACTCAAAGGAGCCCTGGGACATGAGCACCAGTCTCTAAAATATGTGGCAGGTCTGACAAAGTCCTTACAACTGAACACCTTGCCCGGATTTTCCTGAAGGAACACAAGCTACCAACCTACTTTCACTCTGATAAGAACCCTGCCACCTTTCCTAGCTCATCAGCTCTTCATTAATTCAATAAACTGGAGATACCCCTGTCCTAGGACAACTTAAAAATATTTGCAATTCAAGGATTTTTTAGCATTTACCATTTGCCAAGAAATGGTACCTGAGTATATTCAGAGGGAAAAGACAGTCTCTGCCTTCCAGGGACTTGAGGTCCTAGAGGAGACAAACACACAGGCTAGCACAATCCTGAGGGTACAAGGCCCATTCCCTTACCCATCCAGGCTTTCTGAGAATGGAATGATGCGCCAGAACCTGGCACCATCACCAGCCAAATCTGGTCAATGACCCCACTGAATGAAGCTGCAAGGATGGGCAGTGGGGTGAGGACAGGCCTTAAGGGAACAGTTGTCCCCCTCAATCCCCAGGCCCTTCCATCCTGGTTTGTAATTCTTCCCCTGTTAGCCCATTATGCTAAGACCCCAGTTCATCCCCCGCTTTGAGCTCCCTTGAGTTAGAATTCAAATTGTTTCTCACCTCCCTTCTTTGGAGGTCATTAGGAACCAGGTCAAACAGACCTATAATAAGACTGTCAGCCTGAACCAAGAAGGAGCACTGGGGGCTCCTCCTCAAAGGGCCTGCCTCTAAAACCTACCCCTAAGTCAGGCATGTCTCCATGGCAATGGCAGGCCTTTTTCTGATTCCAAAAATAAAATTTACTGTAGAATGGTCACAAAGCACAAGTATAGTTATACACTTACATGCATGTATGTAGACAAACATACATGACTTGTAATGGATATCACCAGTATGTGACCACAACATATACACACACCTATACATAGATTTTTCACCTATTAGTTGCCTAAATGAAAACTTAGCCTTCCAGCCTACCACTAAATATGGTGATAAAAAACACTTTATCCTATCAAAGAAATACCCTTCTCCTTTATCAAGAATATTTTTATCATAGAGTTGTCAAATTACTATGTTGTCTACTAAAAGCTAACATAACACTGTGTATCAACTCCATTTCAATAAAAAAAAGCATTTTTTTGCTAGACACGGATGATGAATGCTATGAAAGAACTCTTTGATATCAGGCAAAATCTGTATCTGGTGTTTAGCCTTTAATCTATTAATAAGCTGACTTGATGAATTTCCTAACATTAAGCTATCCTTGAAATTCTAAATAAATCCTACTTTCACATGGACTGGTCCTTTCATATACAACTGGATTTGACTGGGTAATACCTTTCCAGAATTTTTATGCATTTATGCAGAAGTAAGACTAGTCTATAGTTTCTTTTTTAGGCTATCTTTGTCAGTTTTTGTTATATTAGAGTGATGCGCACTGGAACCAAGATTCAGAAATACAGACGTGCATAGAGACAATGCTTTAAGGAAGTACAAAGAGCAAAGGGCTGTTTGTACATACCTGGAAAGGTTGCCTAGAAACCTCTATGAAACCATCTAGGTTTGCTACCTCCAAGGGCACTCCTTTATTTTTAGAACTTTCTGTCAGGTTTTTGGTGCCCTCTAGGTAAGTAGGCTGCATCATCAATTAATTTTGATAATCAACAATAAATTATTATCCTGGGAAAGAGTCCACATTTGCACATTTATCAGCACAAAGTTGTTTATGATCATCTGTCCTGCTTTTAATCTCCTCCAAATCCAAGAGTACATTTGTCACATGACATATTTGTGTTTTCTCCATTTCCTTGCCATAGGCACCAAAAGTGTCTCACTAGTATTTCTGAAGAACCAGCTCTTCTTAGTTTTCTTCATCAAGTACGATGCTTTTACTATTTTGTGTTTTGTTGATAGTGCAAGGGGAGCAGTGTCTGATTATGCTAACATCAGCACAACAGGCTGGACCTGTTTCTGCAAAGTCCCCAAAGCAGCCAACACTGGGAGTGAATGCACAGAGGCCACCAGCCTTACCTCGATGAGTTTTCTTTCATAGGAGCTCGCCAGCTCCTCGGCCACTTCACCCGGCTTCTGCTCAGTGACTGTAACTTCTCCATCAACGTTCCAAAGATTTGGTACAACTTTAGGGAAAGAAAGAAAGCCCATAAATATTTTTAGCAGTAATCAGAGTTATTCTCCCATTTAAAAAAAACATCTTTTCTTCTTTGCCAAATATCTTCTCCATAAAGAAAGCTGTTTTTAAGGTGGGGCGGGGGTGGGAATCACAATTACTAATTACTTCAACACTGTAACATTTTCACATGAGTACAATGATGTGAACAATAAGCTACGTTTAAAAATGTAAGAATGGTCACAGAGACAGATGCGTGTGACCCTGGGGAATAATCTTATCACTACTCCCCATTCCAATGAAACACAGGCAACATACTGGCAAGACTAAAGAGCCTCTATCTTTATAGTGGTCAAATTTCTCTTTCTCCAACAAAGAAGTTCCCCCAGTGCAGCACTCACCTGCCTATAGCTCAACATTAATGGCAGAAGGGGGGTCAGAGTCCACACAGAGCCACTAAGAATTGCCATTTATAAACGTACTTAGAGCAGAAGCCAGGCAGCTTCAGGAAAAACTCTAAAATCAATGCCTAATGACAATTCAAGGACATCCTAACAAGATACTGGCCCCCAGATCAATGCAAGAATTATTAGCACAGCAGACACCAGTGGGTGGTGGTGTTCGTCCTTTCAGGGACACATCCATAAATGCTCACTTTGTAGAGAAGAGCAGCAAGTTAGGACCGGAACAAGCAGGCTAATTCCAAGAACACCAGGGGAGCGTGGGCAGGAAGGAAGTCCCTCAAGAATATGGATTCACCCCAAGTCCAAAAACAAACATCCACTAAGCAGATCCCATTCCCTGTGTGTTCCAGGAGAGCTAAGTCCTAGATGCCCTACAGAGTGGGAAGAGATGGTCATGAAGGCCAGCCCTCTGGCAACTGGGATTTGGAAGCTTGGGGAGAATGGCCAAGTGGGCAAAGGCTGAGCAAAAAATGGGGGTCCTGCACCTGCTTTGCCTGCAGCTCTGCTATCAGCCCCCTCCCTAAGCTTCCATTGGCCACAGTGACCTAGGGCCCCAGAGGCAACATGGCCCTGAGTGATGACACCCAACATGCTGGAATGAACCCAAAGATGCTCCCGTCCCAGCAGTGACCATGGCTCCAGCCACTGTTGTGTACAGTGACCCAAGTAACCCTATTCAACCTAAAATAGGTTTTAAGACAAAATTTCAAGGGCTTCCAGTTATAGGTGATAGGCTGAACACATTCATTTACATTCACATCCTCTCAGAGTCCCATTAAAACATCCATTTCTGAAATTCTAGTGCAGATCACTGGTAAGGTGCATTGCAGGCCTGGGAACGCTTCCTTCTCAGCTGCAAGGTGGCAACACTGACATTCAACCTGATGACCATGGGACAACTTGTGAACGGCCAATAGACTGCTAATATGAGACACTTTTAGAAGTGGGGGGTAAACATGGGGCTGAAAGTGAAAAGAAGAGACACAAGATCTGTTTAGGAAGCAATTTGCAGAAAACTAGGGTTTTATTCTCTGGAATAATCAGAGATTATATCTGGAAAATCACAGCTCTGGGTCAAGCTGAAGGTCAGGGTACCCTATGGAAAACAGAGAACATAATACTGCTGGGCTTCTTCCATTCTTCTTCACCCATTCCCAGAGCATCCGGCAGCCAACATATACCTACCTCTAGGCAAGGAATAGAAAGTTTTGTCTTGGGAATCTAACAGGCTGAAGACCCTGATGTGAGAGGCTCTCTAGTGAAATGGCACAGCCTGCTTGCGTGCCAGGAGATGAGCCCAGTTTTTTAGCACCCCACTCCTACCTCAGAGGGGCTGACTAGAACACACCTCACACCTGACACAAGCACCTAGGATGGAAGATGAGGACCAGAATCAACAGAGAAAAACAACTTATAAGCAAGAGACCCAAATTAGGGGAAAAGAACACCCAAGAAGCAAATGCTCAGTAATATTCCCAGAGAGAGAAGAAGATGGTATGGTTGAAACAGAGCAAGGAGGTATTTAAAAAGAAGAAAAGGCAGCACAGAGAGATTAAAAAAAAAAAAAAGCTCTTTAGCAAAAACGAAACTGTGATAGAAGAAATGAACAGCAGATACAAAGAAGAGAAGGTAAGAAAATCTCCAGAAAACAAGGCCAAAGGATAACAAGAGGGAAAACAAAAAGTGAAATGGAGACTTGCCATTTAAGAATCCAAGAAAGGGGGAAGAAAGTGGGGAGGGGAACAGAGACAAGGAAGTCAAAGACTTAATGCAAGAAAATGCCCCAGAACCGAGAGGCAGGCGTGTGGAGACAGAAGAGCTCACAGAGCACGCAGCACAATGGGGAAGCCATGCTCGGGCACCTCTCAGGGGAGTTTCAGAACGTGAGCGACCAGGAGAGGACACTAACTCACAGAGTGGAGGCAGAACTTGTCCAAAGGACAGAAAATTAGAAACAGCATAGCATTTCTGAACAGCAACACTGTAAGCCAGAAAGCAATGAAGTGATACTGTCAGCATCCTGAGGGGAATTGAATTATTTCCAACCGAGAATTCTGGACCAAGCCAAGCCCCGTGACAAGAATTATGGACCAAGCCAAGCCCCATGACAAGAAGGTGAAAACATCCTCAGACACACAACCATTCAAAAATTTTAACCAAAACAGGAGAAGAAATCTAAGAACAAACAGGCTTCCTAGGAAAGAGGATACAACACAAAAGTGGGAAGATTATTAACAATTACAAGTGGCCACAACTCACATGGCCATCACAGATGACTGATGGATAAACATGCTATGGTCTATCCCTACAATGGAACACCATTCAGCCATAAAAAGTAAGGAAAAACGACATCTGCCACAACACAGATGAGCCCCCGGAAGGAGCCTGCAAAGGGAAAGACGCCAGAACTGACACCAAAGGGCCACATACAGCAGGATCCCATTTATAGGAAATGTCAAGTATTGGTTTCGGGGGCCGGAAGGAAGGAGGGATGGGGGTCACTGCTAATGGGTTTAGGACACCTTTTTGGAGGTGATAAAACAGTCCATATCTGGAGAGAGGTGATGAAGGTACTAGAAAGAATTGGATTGTACACTTCATAAGTATGGCACGTGAATTTTCTCTAAATAAAGGAGCAGCAAGCGGGAGCAGTGAACTGGATGGAACAGGCCCACTTGAGCAGCCAGGCTTCCTCTGGCCACAGTGGGTCCCAGAACTGCAGGATAGATGGTCCCAGGATGAAACTAATAGATGCCCTGTTTTTAACATATAGAGATTTCCAGAAGTAAGAGAGTACTAGCATTTGGGTAGTAATGAGTTCACGCAACACCCACCAAATTTTTTTTGCAAGTATTAACTCAAAAGAAATTCAAACCTTGCATGAAAATAATGATCAAGTACCTCACAGCTCGGCTGCAGAGCATTTTTAGAGTCCTAATAATGTATTCACAGCCCAGGGACCAAACCAAAAAGATGGTGTGTCTGTGCTGGAGGATGGGGGAAGGGAAACCATGGGGGTTGGGGATGGAAGAGCTACCTTTCACCCTCTGAGGTGAGGTATCAATGGAGAAATCAACAAGTAGCAGTGGACATGCACTGCTCAGAAACATCAAGGTAACACCCAGAACAATCAGTTCAAGGTTTGAAGCAGTTGCTTGTGGGGAGTAGGAAATGGGGAAGGGTGTGGAGGCCAGAAGTGCCAGGTCTTCTATGGCCAGGCTACATGCAAATGCTGGATTTAAAAAACAAAACACCGAATTTGATTTTAAACAAGGAAACAGAATCCAAGAGAAGTCTGCACTTAGAAAAGTTAGACCAGATAGTAGCAGCGCCTGCCACGGCAGGGCAGCTACCCCCAGCAGGAAGCTGCCCGTGCCCCATTAGTGAAGGCCGATGCTAGTACACATCTGAGGTGTGACGGGTATGTGAACAGCACAGCCTGCTGGTGCCCTCCTAACGACCCAATCTTTGCCTAAGCGAGGTTGCTTTTCCTCCACAAGGAGATCCTGCTGATCAGAAAGACACGGCCATCCAACCTGCTTGATGTCTGCACATCTCTTTAGAAATCCAGCCACTGGCCTTACCCTCCTCAGATACTAGGTCCTCTGTTGGAACATCTAAGAGGAAGCCACAATCTTCTGCACTGAAGGAGGCAGATGCATGAATAAGCTTTTTAACCTTCAAGACGAGGGAACAGACCTTGGGCACTCATGAATTTATAAAAGGTCTCTTAGAAACTAACCAGCCAACCTTCCCCTGCAACGACCTGACCTCCTGTTGCCCTGGTTCCATTCCTACAGCTTTAACAAGCATATCAGAAACTTCTATCCCATGTATAAAATAATAAATGACGAATCCCAGCTATACCATGCTTTTCTCACTGGCAGGAAGCCTCTAAGATGGCTCCTGGTGATCCCTCCCTCCCTGGTGATTCCCACTGTTCAATCGTCTCCTCCCCTGAGGACGGGCTGGACTTACTGACTCCCCTCGAATGAGCACAAAATGGCAGAACTGATGGCATGTCACTCCTGAGGTTGACTTTTAAAAGACTGTGGCTTCTGCCTTGGGTGCCCACATCCACTCACTGAGGAAAGCCAGTCGCCATCTTGTGAGCTGCCTTATGGAGAAAACCATGATGTATCCACCCACAGCCAGGGGTCTGCCAGCAGCCAGGTGAGTGGACGTGGATCCTCCTCCCGTCAAGCTCTAAGACGACAACCGCAGCTGTGTCACAGAGCCTGAGCACATAGCTGAGCCACACCTGGATTCCTCCTCTACACAAACTAAAGTCATCAATGTTTGTTGTTTTAAGCTGCTGAATTTTGGGGTCATTTGTTACACAGCAATAGATTAACAATACGTCAGTACCTCTAATCATTCAACAGGTACTTCCTCAGAGAACACTGTGGGTAAAACTGAGTTAGGCCCTGGAGACATAAGGACGATGGTATGGTTCCACATGGGTGACATATATAAAAGGACAACATAGCAGTGGAGTTGGCCCGTCTATCTCTATGGCTTATTAGGAAAGTGAAGGGAGCCATTT